GTATTGATCAGCATTATTAATGATCTAGTATTGATCCTTTGCTCACGAGTGGTGACTCCGAGGCACCATTAAAATTATTACATCACGTTCCAAGGTAACTTTTATATTACAAAAGTCTAAACGTAAAAGAATTGTTAAAAGTCTAATTGTTGTACGTGTCGCAAGACTATAAAGTTCGTATGCATAATAAAATGGAAACATCATAAGTTAGAAAAATTAATTTAGATTTGCAGTTAAAATGGCTTCGAATGCAAATGGTTAATAATATAGTATCTGTAATTAAATTTTGAAATCGAAACAATTTTATTTGAAAGATAAAAGAATTTCTATGGAAATAAAGTGCTGTGAGATGATAGCACAGTAAACTCAAAATTTATTTCATTCGCGTATGTTGATGCGATTGTTTTTGCAAGTTCGTGGAAAAACAAAACCTCGACGGTAATGTTAAAGAAATAAAAATCTCTCGATTTTAATGTATAGGCTGTAAGAACGCGGAAACTTGTAAAAAGATGGAGTGAATTGCTGCTTTAAATTGTTTCTGGAACACAGTTCAGAAAATTCCAGTGCGAAAAATGCGACTGCCGCGTTCCCCGATCCACTCTTAATCTCGCGTGAAAAAACTTTTTCGTATCTCGAATTTGTGCTTTTATCGAGCCGCAGACGCGGCTGCTTTGTATGACACCTCTAAGAATTTGATAATTTCAGCGGATCATAGGGGCTCGTAAACTTGATATTTATTATAACTGTTGAAGCTACTTGACTATTTACCCTGTGTCGGGCTTTAAGGCACGTTGTTATTCGAACGCCGAGTAACTGAACTTTTTCCGTCCTTTGTTGCAACAAAAGTGGGTACAATGTGACAAAATGAAAATAATATCGTTGATTCTGTACTCGGGTGATAGAGCGACCTGACGAAATTCTAAGCAAACTTATTCATTTATTTCTCTAGTGACAGAGTGAAGAAATAAACCTGAAATTGCATTGTCCACACTATTCTCAAGTAATAAAGCTGTGTAGTAGAAATAATATAAAGCTGCGAATTTTATTCTCGAGTATTAAAGCAGTCTCATAAAATTATAACGAAATTATTCGATTAAAGTGATGCTCTAATCAAGCAGTTTTTTCAATCTCCAGCGGAAACTCTGGAAAAACTCTGAATTAGAAGAACATTCGATTGGCCAATTATAGGTCCCAAATGGGACAGACATGTGTCGTTTTATAAAAGTTTTAGTATGTGAAATGTGCACCTAATTTTCGAAGGCAAATAATTACGCAGATTTTGAGATATCATGATCACTGTTTTGAAAATCAAGCTTTCAAAGTTTTGTCTAACAATACTGATCATTAAACTGGAGATTTTATGTATTTATAAGAAAAATGTGCAGGTAGAACAGGAAACAATGGAAAGACTTTAAAAATGCTGTTTCAGGAGATTTCAATGAAAAGATTATACGAAAGATAGACTCTAAGAATGCAGTTATATCATTTTCAACCTATTAAAAACATTGAGAAAGAGAACAAACTATTATTTTACTTTAGTATGCTGCAATTAAGGTAGAAATCTCGGACAAGAATTGGCCAATTTTGATTAACGATAACTACGCGAAAGATCATCCTAGGATGATGGTTACTTTTCCAAATTAAACCTCAGAACCTCTACTTTCAGACATTGATTCAGGATTATGAATCCGCGCATCCTACTAATATTGCAACAAGATCCGTAGTTCGCATATAGAAATTTCGTATAAGAATTGGCCAACTTTGACAGACGATAACTCCACGAAGAATCATCATAGGGCTATAATTTTTTCATCGAATTAAAGCTCGGAACCTCTACTTCAAGATGCTGTTTCAGGATTTTGAATCCGACGCATCCTACTAATTCCAGCTTAAGGAATAGTAGGCGTGTTTCTGTCATAAGTACGTTACGGTTCTCGCACGTGAAATTCAAGAATTAGACAAAATGTAAAGAAAATAATGGATTTTTTGGAAGATTCACGGTTCGATCAAAAATCCCTGTAATGGATATCGCAGTCCTTCGACGCTAGGTGGTTTTGTTTCCCGCAAGTACTTAAACGTCTCCAATTAGTATATATACAAATCGAAGTCGGTCTTCCCTTAACCCCGCGTCTAAGGCAGGGACCCGCTAGAACGCCTTACTGATGAGTCCTCTAGCGGGGACCAGGACGAAACGCGCTTCCCCTCCTCTCCTCCTACCCGTACCCATACGTGGTTCAAAGCATCGTCAATATCTGCAACCGTTGACGAGCGCTTGGAGGCACATGGAGCCACACACTTATAACATCAACTAACATCTACATCTGGAAGCAGCCTCTTCATCAGCAGACATCGGATCAACGCCAGGAGTACGAGTGGATGATGCAGTTGCCGAGACACGTTAAATCTCTCTTTCCTAGGTTGGCTACCGCCATCGATTTGTGTTAGGCGTCTGGCTGTGGACTTCAGGCTTATATGCAACCTGGATCTCAAACGGCGCCAGCAGGTCGGCGGACAGATCTCAATAAGCCGGGACCAACATCCACTACCTACCGTCTGTCTTTCATAGGACAATTAGTCAGGCCAATTAGTAATTAATAGGGTCATCCTAGGACTGGAGATCATCTACGGACTCGATAAGGCTGGAAGGCAATGCCTCGCCGTCGACGACTGCGGGAGCAAGATGAAGCTGTACCAAGACGACGCGGAGCACGAAGCCACTGCAACTCCGCATCGTCCCAATGCCACGTAGGAACAACAAAGAGAAAAATTGGCCAGCATTACATCCTACGGGCAAACCTCAGCAAGCAGCTTCACGAAACAACCGCAGCAGACATCTTCGTCATCGAGTGGACGACTCTAGCGCAATCACATCCCTTCGTACTCCTGGTGTTTCTACTATCTAGACAACCTAGATAACTACCTCATCACCATCAGATCCATCAGTATCCGTCCTGAACCTGTCTTCGCGTCTAAGGCAGGACCCGCTAGGCTAGCCTTACTGATGAGTCCACTAGCGGGTCCAGGACGAAACGCCCCCCCCCCCAAATTTTTTTATTTTATTTTTCCATTTTCACATCACTTCAGACACCCCTAAAGAAATTAAATCAACGAGAATCTTTGTGGTTTTAACGTCTTTGTCGCTGGAACTACCAAATCTGTCAAAGTGGCTTTTATTTTAGTGGTCTTTCTTCTTTTATAATTTCTGATTGTATAAAAATGTTTATGTTAGGAAATTTTATAGGAGCTTTTCTTCATGCAAGAGTATTTTGTAGTATAGAAAACGTAGGAAGTTGAAATGAATCTAATCTTGTCGTTGGCTATAGTATTAATGATCGTATTGTTAGAATTATATATTATGGTCATTATATAATTAGTATTAATGTTCGTATTGATCAGCATTATTAATGATCTAGTATTGATCCTTTGCTCACGAGTGGTGACTCCGAGGCACCATTAAAATTATTACATCACGTTCCAAGATAACTTTTATATTATAAAAGTCTAGACGTAAAAGAATTGTTAAAAGTCTAATTGTTGTACGAGTCGCAAGACTATAAATTTCGTATGCATAAAATGCACTGTGTCATATAAAATGGAAACATCATAAGTCAAAAAAATTAATTTAGATTTGCAGTTAAAATGGCTTCGAATGCAAATGGTTAATAATATAGTATCTGTAATTAAATTTTGAAATCGAAACAATTTTATTTGAAAGATAAAAGAATTTCTATGGAAATAAAGTGCTGTGAGATGATAGCACAGTAAACTCAAAATTTATTTCATTCGCGTATGTTGATGCGATTGTTTTTGCAAGTTCGTGGAAAAACAAAACCTCGACGGTAATGTTAAAGAAATAAAAATCTCTCAATCTTAAAGTGCGCCGATTCTTTGTCGCGGATTGTAAGAAGGAGAAAAATCGTAAAAAGATGAAGGAGTGAATTGCTGCTTTAAGTTGTTTCTGGAACACAGTTCAGAAAAATCCAGTGCGAGAAATGCGACTGCCACGTTCCCCGATCCACTTTTTATCTCGCGTGAAAAAACTTTTTCTTTCTTAGAATTTGATAATTTCAACAGGTTATAAGGGCTCGTAAATTTAATATTTATCATAACTATTGAAGCTACTTGACTATTTACCCTGTGTCGGGCTTTAAGGCACGGTGTTATTCGAACGCCGAATAACTGAACTTTTTCCGTCCTTTGTTGCAACAAAAGTGGGTGCAATGTGACAAAATGAAAATAATATCGTTGATTCTGTACTCGGGTGATAGAGCAACCTGATGAAATTCTAAGCACACTTATTCATTTATTTCTCAAGTAATAAAGTGACATAATAAATCCGAAATTATATTGTTCGCACTGTTTTCTAAAGTAATAAATCGGTGTAATAAAAATAAAGTATATAAAACAGTCTCATAAAATTAAAACGAAATTAATCGCTTCGTTCGCATGTAATTAAACAGTGGAATAAAATTATTTGCTTTATTCGCAAGTGTTAAAGCGATGCTTCAATTTGCGTCACTTGGATTAACAAGTCAAGAAAATTCAATTGACCCGTTACGAGATCCAAAAGCGACGCATGTGTTTCCTTTTTAAATCACAATACTGAATTCGTTTCATTTTTCGGGTTAAAAAAAGATTAACTACGCGAAATGTGCACTTAATTTCTGAAGGCAAGTGGGCACGCAGAATTTGAGATATTATGGTCACCGTTTTGAGAAACATGTTTGTAAAGTTTTGTCAAACAATTCTCATAATTATACTGGAGATTTTATGCATTCATAAGAAAAATATGCAGTGCTGCGGGAAACAGTGGATAGATTTTAAGAATGCTGTTTCAGTGGAAAGATGCTATACTGTTAAAATAGTAGAAAGATTTTGAGGAATACGAACTCTAAGAATTCTGTTATATTATTACATCATCCTATTACAAATATTCAGAAAGAAAAGAAACTGCTGTGTCTAAAATTAGATCCAGAGCATTGTGTTGTTGCGAGTATCACCTTGGTTTGTGTACATAAATTCCAGCGCGACGTTTTTGTACGCAGAGCCAAACTCAGCTGTTCGAGCTCGACACAAGCACAGGTGAAGGACTCGCACTGTATACACGTGTGAGTCTTCTGACGTCGCTATCTATGTATTTGTCATCTGGGCCATCCTTCCAATTAATCCCGATATCAAACACGTTTATCTAATTTCCATGTTTCCTATGCAACGCTGTCCGTTGAGACATTGATCCTATGCACTGTAACGAACGTTCAAAAATATATAATATTAAAAGATATAAATATAAATATTAAAATATATTGTAGCGGCACACGGCCGGCGACCGTAATAACCATAAAAATGTCCACTTGCAGATGTCAAGGGTTCGGCAGAGAGAAAACGTCCTCTTGACGTTTGCAAGCACCGGAAATTCCTTTGTTTCTTTAATTTTTTATCATTGCCACATGTACTGCAGGCCTAGCCGCGGAGAAAGTCGCCGGCCGCGTTCCGCTACCCGGCCGAACGGCCAGCGCGCCCCTACAGCGAGGGTCGGACGATGGCTGAACGGGGGTAAAAGAAGACAGCAAGTCTCCCAAAAAGACCACGCCTTACCTTGCACGTCAATTACACTACAATAGTCAATAGCCAGGTGTGTCAATTACCTACACTAAGTAAGTGCAATTGCCTTACAATTAAGTCAATTACCTTACATAGTCAATAGTACCGGGCCGCAGTCAATTAACTACTTAAGTCAATTGTACCGTTAGAGCGTATAGTTCCTTTAACAGTACAGGACTCCCATAAGTCAATTCCACATGTAAGCAATAATACAAATCTCAGGTTATATAGTTTAGGAAGGGCTATACTGGGCAGCTGCACCTACGGCTCGGTAAAACTCGAATGACTGCTCCCGGTGCAAGCGAGAGCAGTGATTCGTTACCGAGTGTGTAACGCAACTTGATAGCGACCCATCTTCCTGGAATTTGAAGTGACCGACTACACAATATTATTCTGCTGTATCCGTCCGCGTCTAAGTCAGGGCACGCTAGATCTCCTTACTAAGGAGTCCACTAGCGGAACCAAGACGACATCGACAATCCGATGAGATGCAAATTGACAATAAGAAAACATCCTCTCTTAGGCAGAGTACAGCAACATGGTCGGATCAACGCTCCA